GTGGGGGCAGGATCAGGGAAGGCCTTCAGTGGGGGCAGGATCAGGGAGGGCTACGAGTGGGGGTAGGATCAGGGAGGGCTACGAGTGGGGGCAGGATCAGGGAGGGCTACCAGTGGGGGCAGGATCAGGGAGGGCTACGAGTGGGGGCAGGATCAGGGAGGGCCTTCAGTGGGGGCAGGATCAGGGAGGGCTATTACACGGTGCACACACCAATTCTTCCGCGACAGGGGGCCAAGAAAAAAAGTGACGAAGGGGTTCCGATGGTTCATGTTTGAGTTTACATTTCTCATAATCTGCTGCAGAATGGTATTAACTATTAACATGGGTGGAAAGTGTAAGAATTGGCGTGTTTTGGGTAAAAATTGATTTCGGGCTCGAGGCTTACTTCCGGGTGTCCTTCCACCTTTAGCCCGCCGCTTCGTTTTGACCTAGATATGCGTTGTATGCGTTCTGGGGGTGCTGTCGCTAGGCCTCGCGATACGGGCTATTATGATAGTTAGGATTTTGTTAGGATTTTCTTTTTACTTTTCTTAATAATACATAAGGGTTTTCTCTTTCCGACCATATAAGTCATATTAGTGGCTAAATTCTGGGTGATGGGTCTAATTCCACGTGAAAATGGTCAATTTTTGGCATCATTTTTCATCGAAAAATTCTTTTTCCCCCTAAAATTTACTAAAATGTGAGAGGTGAAAGAAATTGAAATTCTATTGTTCTCGTAGCTAGAGGGATATCCTTCATTTGCAAACAGAGTGTTTTGGCTTAAGAGGTATTTCCTGAAAGAGACGGTCGCTAGAGTTGAGGGTATGCAGAATCGAATTGAGACCCAATGAAAACAAGAGTTCCACGATCTCATACCTTCGCCAAATGATGTTAACCCTTGCGGTTGAAGAATCATACAATTTTAATCATTGATTTTGAAAATAAGAGCCTCATTAGCATGGATTATATCAGTTGATCATATTTTCCACCCAATGACAACCTTATCTTCACAAAAAGGCTATTATAGCACTTTCTCATAAATTATGCAAATGAGGTCATGATTTGAATAAATTATGTTTATTGATGTTCGCCTTCACTTAACTTCCAAATGTGGCAAGTATGAAATTCCCAGAAGTTACAACTATGAAATTATAAAATATTCCCATTAATTATGCAAATTAGGTCTTCATTTACATAATCTATATCCTCAGATGTTTTTTTTGTTCTCTATTACATGTCACACGTGTTTCATAGTCCTATTATCGAACGAAGCAGATTTATAGAATTTCCTCATTAATTATGCAAATTAGCTCCTGATTTGCATAATTATCATTTGATTGTGTCAAGCATCACTTCAGCTACCTACATACCAAAAATCATGGCAATCCGTCCACCAGTTCTTGAGTTATCATCCTTCGAAAATTTTTCAACAAATGCTCCTGCAGTTCCAGAACAAGGCGCTAGGAGGGCCAAACTTATGTCACTTCTTCCCTACCCCAAGAGCTATCTACCAACCAAAATTCGTGATCCTGACATGTCCAGATTGCGAGATATCAAAACCGGAAGTTCTGCTGCAGTACCAACAAAAGCTGGCAGGGGGCCCAAAATCTAATCATTTCTAGGTCTTATCAAGACCTACCCACCTACCAAGTTTCATGACAATGCGTACTAAGCTTCTTGAGTTATGCTGTTCACAGACAAACAGAAAGTCGGACAAACGCTACTGAAAACATAACCTTCTTGGCGAAGGTAATAAACTGGGGTGAGCCCCCTCAATCCAACCCATCCTGCAAAAATTTGTGACAGTGAAAAATTGTTTTAACCCAGTAAAGTGTGTACCCCACGTCCAACCAGAGCAAAAATAATTCGGATTTCGCAAGTTTTATAATATTTATATAATGTCATAAAAGCCTCGGTCACAACTCGCCGTGCGTGCTTTTTGTCCGTACGTTTTTGTCGTGGCTACGTCTGCTACGTTTTTTCTGCAAACGTAGGGTGGCCGGCCGAGGGAGTACGTCACTCGCAAGGTGTACGTACGTGGTCTGCACGACACGCCTGACCGTCAGCGGTTGCGTGCATCGTACGTTGCGCAAGTGGTAAGTGAGTTGTACGTGCTTACAACGTACGATCTCTGATCTGTGCGATTGCCACGTTGCCGCGTACAGGCCGTACCTACACGTGCGGCGTGCGCACGGTTTCCTTACTCACTCGCACGTTGTAAGTGCGTGCACCTCCTGTTAACTTCATCATCACTAGCCGCCCTGGTGTCTTCCGCGGCCCGTTTCTTTGGATCTTGTCTGGTAGACTTCTTCTGAGCCTTCCTGGGCATCTTGGAGACGAGTTGGCAGTCGCCCGTCAAGTCGTCTTTATATACTGTAGAAATAAGGTGCGTTGCGCGTGCGTTGCACGTGCGGAGCACCTAGTGTGGTGCACGTGTGTTCTGCGTGGTCATTGAGCAGGTCAACTGGGAAGTGAGGAGTAAGCACGGATGACGCAAGCACCGTGCGTGGCACTGACGTGCTTCGTGCGCTGTCCGTACAGCAATTGCACGTGAGAATAGTGAAGTTAGACTCACGGAGTCCGTACGTTGCACGCTCATAGGCTGTACGGGGCACGCGCGTCGCACGTACTCGCACGCACGTGTGGTAAATCCGCAGACCGCACGTAGAAAAAGTATTACATGCACTTAAGGTTCTACGGCGTGTCTGCGTGCTCCCAAATCCGTAGGATTCCGTACGGAGGCGGTACTCACCACGCACGGATGCCGTACGTTTGCCCACGTTTTTGCACGTAGACAGCACGCAGAAGCACGTACGGCGAGTTGTGACCGTCGCTAAAATGAGTTGATTTGCCCCCCTCCCCACGCCCCCCCCCCGAACACAGTCACATGGCCTTCGAAGTGTGTATGCTAAACATTACTGACGTCATAATAGCCGTAACATAGTTTTTCTGTACTGGTCTGCATCAGGTGCACCTGGAAATTACTTTTGTACCATTGAAAGCGACTCCCGCATTGAGGAGGAGACTGTTTTCTAGTAAAAAAAAGGGCCTCTGATGACGTCACTCTTGGCTTTCCTCCCTAAGCATGTTTCCAGTTCGTGCTCGAACTAGTTTTCAATGTTCAGACAAATAAGTTGCACTAGTGAGAAGAGAATCAGAAGACACAATCTCAGGCTTTTATATCTCACCGAGACCGTACAGCCTTCTCTCAGTAAATGCCCATTTATACCTCCGTAGTCGCCAGAAGTACGGACCAGGTCTCCGTTTCAACCAATGATTCAACATTTAGCTTGGTTTTCCTGCACAACAAAATATATCTCGGGAGCGGACAAGCTTGGACAGGAATGCCAGGTTTATTCTCTACCAGCCATGACTGAAAATTGCAATTTTATCTGCTTTCCGTTGAAGCGCGGAACTTAAAACGTAATCGTTCTCACTTTAAAAGATCAGCCAGAGGCGGGCATTGTGACGTCACCAGCTCAAATCATTGGCGATAGGCCACCGAGTTTTTGTTGAGATCGTTGTTACTTTATTTAAATATGTACTTAGGTAACTGAACAACAAATTCACTGTGCACCCCGTACAAGATTCCCGAGAATCATACCCTGAACACATAACACCGTGAGCACGGTCCGTTGAAAGATTCCTGAGTACACTCAACACAACACACCGTGAACACAGTCCGTTGAAAGATTCCCGAGAATTCTCCATACCCATACATACTCTATGTAAAATGAGACTAAGCGCTCACACATTAGAGATAGAGAGAGGAAGATATAAGAAACTGCCTGTAAGCGAAAGATTTTGTAAATACTGTACAGAGGGAGCAGTGGAAGATGAAATGCATTTTATCTGTCAGTGTCCTCATTATATTTTGAAAGAAAAAAGTTATTCAAAGATGTCGTCAATATTTCCACAAGTTTTTCATATCTCAACCAACAACAAAAGACTATATTATTGCTAAAGTCCCCCAACCCATTTATTTTTCAAAGAGTCGGACAATTCATCTCCCACTGCCTCCTGAGAAGAAGTCAAACCCCCTAATAGCATGACAAGAATAGTTTAATAGAATAGAATAGATTAGAATAGCAGTTACATTGTTCCTATTACCTGTTCACATATTGCATATTTACTTTTTTATCCTGTATGTATACCAACGTTATTAGATTTAAGTAGAGATAGTAGGTTTGATAAGTATATCGTACACGTAGATACACTTGTCAATGTCTGTATGTAATTAGCCCTCGGGCAGGAATTTGCAATAAACAACTACATAATTTATATATATATATATAACACATACTGGGTACTTCGTCGGCTGAATCACACAATTAAAAGCACACTCATTACCTAGCTGTTACTCCTGGATCGGCGTTTTGTTATATCGAGATAGATAGCGCAAACGGATCATGTTCATTCCTTGTGTATTATGATTGCAACGGACTGAGTGAGTACATGGTGTATGTTCACATGTTAAAACATATGCAAAACAATCAAGTTGTAAAATAGTTTTTAATGGTTTACAAAACAACATAGTTTTCAACAAAAACTCGGTGGCCTAGCGCCTGTGTGAGAAAGATCTACGGATGAGCGCGCTACGTAGCTACGTAGATGAGCGCGCCATGGCGTGCGTGTAACGTTGTGTGTGTGTGTGCGTGCGTGCGCGTTTGTGTGTGCGTGTTTATGCGTGTGTGTGCGTGCGTCCGTTAATGCGGACGCGCGCGTGTTCCAATATTTGGCCATTTGGCCCTTCATCACCAATAGAGTTTTTGGTACATAACCAGTCTCGAGCTTCCCCACCCCGCTCGTTAAATGTCGAACTGTCCCTACATGGCCCTACATGTACCGTGACTAACCGCATTATCCGCCAGGGGATCCAACATCTAATCATTTTGATCAGGTCTCACACAGCAGGAAAACCTGACCTAGATTGCCAGTCAGTATGTAATGTAAAACTGCATATGCCCTTATCAAGGTCACTGCTATGTTTAGGTTCATAGGTCAAACGGCCACAGAGCTGCCGTGCGCAGTGGGCTAAAATATGACGCCGTAAGTACCGTAAATATCGAATGCTTTCCGACTATTGAATTCTGCTTTTCAGTTGAGCACACTACGTTTACCTAATCCGAAATGAGGAGCTTTATTCAAATGAGGCTAACATGAAAGGAGATCCTTAATCCTGGGAGCAACATGTGGTGATGGTTTTTGTCCCGGAATCTGGGATTGAATCTCAAGATAATTTGCGGATTTTACCACCCTGACCTGTTGTCTGTGAGAGTTTGGGATGTTTACGTCTCTCGACAGACGAGTGTTGCGGGATCCTGTGACCGTGAGGGCTCACTTGGTTTTCGTCAAGCAGGGAATTTGACAACAGATTTTGCAGACAAGGTTTGACCTCCGAGAGCTCATCAGATATTCTGGTCCACAGCTCATGCGGGGGCGGTGCATACAAACCACAGCGATCTCTTGTGTGGCAGACGAACGGAATAAGAACTGAAGAAGAGACAAAGTCGCTCCTGAGCTCTTGACGCTTTGCTCTTGGGTTAATTGGTAATCAAACTTGACCTGACAAAATGTCTGCCGACGGAGTGGCACTTGACGGCCCCTTCGCGAACCAGACTGATCCAGGGAGCGAGACGGCGGTAAACAACACGTCGGGCAGTCTGCTCAACCCGCTACTCATCAATCCCAGGGTCAACCTGACCATGAACATATGGATGAGCGTGTTTGTTGTGATCATGATGCTGTCTCTCGGCTGCACCATGGAGTATCACGTCGTACTGCAGCACGTTAAGAAACCGTTCGGGATGTTTATCGGATTTTTGTCGCAGTTTGTGATCATGCCAGCGCTGGCTTACGGGATGGTACACGCGGTAGGACTGGGGGGCCTCTCGGCACTGACCGTCCTGATCCTTGGCTGCTGTCCCGGCGGAAAGGTGTCCAACATTCTGGCTCTCCTGGCAGCGGGCGACATGAATCTCAGGTACGGGAATTATCAAGTCTTCTTCGCCGTTAAAAAATCCACACAAATCTCCGATTTAACACTAGTTGTCCCGTGTAGCCTGGATGCCAGACCCAAAGCACACTGGACACAAAATATCTCAGTGTGCACACTGAGATATTTTGTGTCCAGTGTGCTTTGGGTCTGGCATCCAGGCTATGTCCCGTGTGAACAAACAAATGTTCTTCATACATTGTATGCACAGTTTATGATGATAATTATTTCACAACAATTGTACACTAACAGGTACAAAGTATGGCAACTACTTGTATATAACTACACCTTTATAAGGTTAACGCAACTAATACAATGGTGGGTGGCTAGTATGGGATAGGTATGAACTTTTACAATCATTGGGTGAATTTAGTGAAATCTGTTCAACGTATGCTATGGTAGAAACGTGCGATTGACGTTGAGATGATGTTGGTCTTTCCTTTTTTCTGAGAAAATTTACAAATACTAGTAATCTACAAAATTTGACATTGACCCCCCCCAAAAAAAAAATCAGCAAAGTCAACCTGACCAGAATAAAGACGTCAATCTACATTAGATGAATCTTAGTACGTCCGAAGTGAATTCACATCGCAATCGCGGATTGTCTGGCAACATCAAAACTTTTAAGTGTGTCCTGTGCTCTAACAATTTAATGGTAACGTTACGGTACATGATACATGTAAGTCAAGTAGCTTTGAAAAATGATAGTTTTTTTCTGCATATCTTGGTATTGCTGAGGTCCGATCATATCCTTCCATTTCCCCAGTATCTGCATGACCGTGTGTTCCACGACGTTGGCGATGGGCATGATGCCGCTGTGCCTGTGGCTGTACGGGCGGGAGCTGACGGACTCGCACACCGTCATCCCGTACGACTCCATCGGCATCACGCTGGTCTGCATCATCGTGCCGGTCGCCGTCGGCGTCTACATCAAGTACCGGTCAGACAGGGCGGCGAAGATCATCCTCAGGGTAGGACATGTTAGTTTAAAACCTTCCATAATTTTTCAAAACTTTATGATAGTTAGTATTACCCCATTTCCATTTATTTTCGTCGCCTGCATGGCATCTATTCATAAATGCTGGGAGATGAGCGAGGCGGCCAATCCTTGAAAAGATATCAACGATTTATCAACGATGTGAAGGTGAAGTATGGATATAATTTACTTCTTAAAATCATATCTAGAATCTATTGATAATAATACCCTTATCCCGACTAAGTGGTACTTTAATGGCGGCTGGATGAAAATTGTATGAATACAAATTCCTCCTCTCCTTTACCGTCTAGCTTTGTTCACGAAAGCTGTCGTCCTTTTCTTGACAGGTAGGGGGCGTGATCGTGCTGCTGCAGCTGGTGATCGGCATGTGCATTGCCGTGTTCCTGTGGGGGATCGACCGGCTGTTGTCCATCCCGCGGACCCTGATCCTGGTGGCCGTCGTCATGCCGTTCTGTGGCTACGTCCTGGGCTACATCATGGCGTCCATCTTCCGCCTTCCCCACAACTGCCGCCGCACGGTCTCCATGGAAACCGGCTGTCAGAACTCCGGCCTCTGCATGTCCATCCTCAAGCTCTCGTTCCCTGTCCAGGAGGTCGGCACGGTGTTCTTCTTCCCGCCGCTGTACGCCATCTTCCAGACGGTGGAAGCCTTGATCTTCATCGTCCTGTACCACGTCTGGGCACGGAAATGTGGGAAAGAGAAGGGGGAACTGAACCTGCTTGCCGCTCTGAAGAAAAAGGGCCAACATGCTCAGAACGTCATGAATGATAGAGACCACCAACCGAACGGCGGTCCACCGGAGAGGTCCACGGACTGTTCGGACCTCGCCACGCCGGTGGCAGTAAGCAGCAGTTCTGCGGACCACAACGCCAGTGGAAGGAGGCTGACAGAATGGGAAAGCATGCTGTAGACGTTTTTGCTCCAGTGCTGAAAGGAGTTCAGCACTGGAGACCGAGTGCTGTGACAACGTTCAGCACTGGAATTCCAGTGCTGAGGGAGCTTCAGCTCTGGAGTGCTGACGCAATTTTGACCGCTGATTCAGCACTGGAACACCAGTGCAGAGGGCATTACTTTTGTATATTTGCCCCAGAGTTGGCACGACTTGGCATAGCCCCGCCGCCCTCATGCTTCGCTCATGGAAAAAAAAAGACAACTTACATTCATGTGCAAGCATTTGACCGACGTGCGGCCGAACACTCTCTGATTGGTTAAGATAATATTATTTTGATCTGTCGCGTTAGTCGTTTTATCTCTTTCTTACATGTCAGTTGGATTTTTATTACTGTTTGTAGAAGTATATGTTGCATTAATTTGCATTTGCTGAACTGCAAGTTTTGATGGAAAATCCCTAAGGGTTGAGCTACCCATGACATGTATCAATCTAACAACAAAAAATGATTGTGTGCGATTGTTTTGTACATTAACAATAATGTGACCCACCAATTTTATATGGGGTGAATTTAACTGTTTAAAGTCTCGAGTTTTGTGGGGAAGTCTTTTGACTTGTATTTGAGAAGTAAGTATTATCACAACTAATTAGCCAGAAGAATTTGTTGATACACATTCTACATGTATCTAAAACATTCTGTATTGGTCATAGCATTTTGTATCAGTACAGTGTATATAAAGTTCAGTACAGTGTATATGTAACATGTTGATTTGTGTAGTTCTAACATCTATTTCACTTAAAGTGCATTGATCAGAATAAAACATCATACCTAGACATACATGTGTATTTTGTATTCTTTTCAAAACATGCCTTATCTACTCATTATGTTTCCATTTACTTTATAAACTACTAGTATATATTCAAATACTCCAATACTTGTAGAATTGTATAAAACAAGAGTTCTATAACCTCATAGCTTGGCCAAGCTATATTGTTTCCAAATTTACAGAATTCATCTCTGATAATATTCACCTTTATCTAAGTTCTAACCTACTGTGTATGTGTCACCAGTATGAACATTTCATCAGTTACCACAAGAGGTACTATAACCATTTTCTCAATTGTGAAAGTTAAGTCTGCAGTTTTATATCCACTAATGTTCCTCACAAACCAAGTTGAGGGAATCCCTAACATTTTGGGGTCCTCACTGAGAGTAGAACAAGAATCTCACTGCCTGGGTATGTCCTCTCCCATGTCATCATCACTGTACTCTGCAACTGTTTGTTGAGGCAGGTCAGAACTGCTGCTTCCTGTAGGAGGTAAACTACTTGCACTGTCCAATGGCTGCTGAGTATTACTGATGGTTGCCATGCCAACATTGGTTTGATTGGCAGGCCTGTCCAGGTCAGCAGGAGTGGTGTCAGGTGGTGGGATGGACTCAACTGGGGGTGCTGTAACAGACACTAATGTTGCATCTGTGGGTGCTGTATCTAAGGAGGTTGTCTCTGATGGTATTGTATCTTGTGTATTAGATGCTGCTGCAGCTTCGGATGCTGTATCTGAGGTTGCTGTATCTGAGGTTGCTGTATCTGTAGTTGCTGTATCTGTAGTTGCTGTATCTGTGGGTGTTGCTGTATTTGGAGATGTAGCATCAGGCTCCTTGACATCTTCAGCAGACGTTACAGGTTCCCCTGTCACTGGTAGTTGTTCCATGCTGCTCTGTGCAGTGCTAGAACTGTCTGCTGCCCTGGTGCTTTCCGAAGCCTCTGTAAATACACATAAATGCAGTATTGGTGAATTTCAGTAAAAATCCCTGGTCCCTAGGATACAATACCTTATCATGTACATCACTTGAATACCAACTGTTATGATTAAAATTTGAGTAAATTATACCAAAAGTGGAAACAGAACTGAAGGTGTATCATTTTCAATTTGTTCACATTGTAAATATTAGGCCAACATAATCTTTGGCATGGATATTTACACATTTTACAACATGCAATATGCAACTACTTCTGACTTCTCTCTGCATCACAAATCACAAGAAATATATTACCTTGTAATTTGCAGACATGTCACAGATATGTCTCAATATGTCACAGATGATATATGACTGTACATTGCCCAAATCATTAAAATACAGTTGGACTTTCAATGATTATTGTAACATTTTACTTTGCTTAACTGTGTCTATGGAATAATTGTTACAGATTTTCCAACTGCTTTATATACAGTGCCTAGCTAGCTCTAACCTGGGATGTCAGTGATCAGAAGGCTGGTTAGACTGGTGGTGTCCAGTGTTGTGGCAGGTAAGAGGTCCTGTAGAGGCTGGGTTATAGTCTCCACATCAACAGCACACACCGACAACTAGGACACAAATACAACAGTTACTATAATGTTACAAACAATTAAGGTAACTTACAATGTACAAGTGCTGGCCAGCCATTTATTTATTTATTCACTGGCCTGAAACAGGTGTTCATTATCAAGGCCACCATACAGACAAAATCATAAAGCACCAGTAAATTGTATGTTCATTGATACAAAAGAAAAAAATCATAGAAATTCAAGTTTCTTGAGATATTGTGCTAAAACACTATGCAGACCCGTGGAAACATTCCTGTACAATTCCTAGAATTCTTGCAAACCTGTGGAAATATTTTTGTACAATTCCTAGAATTCTTGCAAACCTGTGGATACATTCCTGTGCAATTCTTACAATTTTTCCAGACAGCACATAATAATGTACCACCCTTGAGATGTCGCCAAAAAAGGACCATGTAGAAGATAATCACCTTGGCAACATCAGCGGTGGGTACTCCTAGCACCTGGGCTACAGCTGCAGCTGGGTACATAACCTGCAGACAGCTGTTGACAAAGGGGACCAGACTGTGGGCAAAACTGGAGCACAGCTGGCCAAACAACTCTTTCTCACTGGAGGACATCGCCGATTCTTCAGCTCTGAAAGGTGACAAAGAAGACAGAGACTTGTCATTCCACCAGGACATGTAAGGAATAATAATACTGAATCATAAAAAATCTAAACAGTGATTCAGAGAAGAGAAATAGTGCATTCTAAATATAGTGGAAGCACATACTGTAAATCACATTTTTTGCATTTACTTTTATATTCGTGGATTTTGCTGTCACTTCTGTACTGCAAACTTATACTCTCATCTGCCGAATAAACATACGGGTACGTTTATTTTTTTGGGCCCAAACATCCACCCAGTACGTTCTTATTTTGCACAGTACGTTTATTAATTTTTTGAAAACCAGTAATTTTTTTCAACTTCGTGTGAAAAAAATTGACAAATCATCGACGTGAAGACGTTTATAAACGCATATTGTAGCGAGAAACTTGTCATTTTCGGGCCGGTTTTTGCAATCACCGCGTGCATAAATTTGTCTGAATGTTCTATTGTCATGGGTGGTGCTTATCAAAATACAAAATATTAAATGCTCTTTTTTTTGTCTATTTAAATTCCTAATTGCAAATAACAGTTAAAGATTTGTGCATATATCAGTAAGGGTGCATTTTAGTACAAGAGACACAGGTTACCCGTCAATTTTGGTAATTTTCCGGGGGGTACGTTTATTCCGGGGGTATAATTATTTGATTTTGAAGATTTGTCCGGGGGGTACGTTTATTCCGGGGGGTATGTTTATTCGGCAGATGAGAGTAGCTTAAAGGTATCAAAATGGTACTGGAGTATAACATGTATAATGGCATATGATGTACCGGGAACATGTACATGTACATTTAGTTGTACATGT